ACCTACTTACCACTGGCTATCGTGCAGGTCACGGGTTCAACTCCAGGGAACTGTGCAGATACTGTACACAGGTAAGCTGAGGTCAAGGGATCGACCCCTGGGATCTGCATCGGCTACTGCCAAAGGTGAAAACTGTTTCAAATGACATCATATTTATTTAAAAAAAAAACAAGGGCAAGAAGCGGAGGGTCTAAGGTGGCGGGGTTAACGGGAAGGGCCTAGGTCTTAAACTGAAATCAGACTGCACTCAACTTCGCTTACAACATGCATACATGTATGAGCCGATGGAATACCAACTTCGTCAACTCAGAATCAGAACTGAACTTGCACTGGCGACATGCGCCCACACAGTAAACTCAGAGATACGACCAACTGGCCAGAAACTCAGTCCAAGTCAACTGTACAACTTGCGGCTATGGCCGCCCAACACTTGTCTGAAGTCGCCACTCGACTCTATCTACACCACCAGCCTCAACCTCACACACACATACACACACGAGGATCCACCCTGAATGTCCACACCACACACGGTAACTCTGTCGACGTCCGCAGCTTGGCGGCTATGGCCGCCGTCTCTTCCTCCTCCTGGCTGTGGCTGCCGTCGTCTTCCTCCTCCTAGTTATGGCTGCCGTCTTCTTCTTCAGCCCACTTCTCCTCCGGGCATCTTCAGACTTCCCAGCACAAGTCGCTCCTTGGCTGCAGGTGGACTGATCGGCCCCAGCCCTGGGCCAAAACGCGTGGGCCTCAGAGGCCCAAAACGCATGGCACTCATGGCCCCAAAACGCGTGGGAAACCGCGTGGAACTCCCCTTCCCAAACCGTGTGGGACTCCCTGGAACTTGCTGACTGGACAAGGTGGAAGCTCACCTTGCTGACTCAGACACGACCAGTGGAACCTACGACCTTTTAGGACCTAGGAGTAGAGACTTCCAGAAGACCCTAACTAGGCCTAACGGTAATGTACCTAACTGCTAACACAAGGACCTAGGGATCAAGACCTATGACAGACTAACACGCTGACTACTAACTAACCTACGGGATTAGGAACTGGTCACGGGTTCAAATCTCACATAGGGTCAGAGGGTCAATGTACAGGGTCAAGGGTGTAGGTCTAGGGATCGAGTCCTACCGCCTACATCTGTCAGGTAAACTGGGTGAAACCGTTTCAAAATTCAAATAATAAAGACAAGCGGATGCCGGCCGTGGCTTCATGCGCAGTGGAGACCTGCTTCTCCTCCTCCCCCTTGCCCCTTGCCATTGCCTACCACCTCCTCTGTCCCGCTCCTGCATCCACCTCCTCTTTGGGCACCTGCCACTCCTCTGCTGTGTGCTCCTGTCGACTTTTGAAATATAGACCCGAGTTCAAGTGAGCCGTCGGTTGGTACACCCACAGACTGTTGAAATAGAGACCCGTGTTCAAAATCCAGATGCTGCCAGATGAGAGCGGGGGATGTCGTTTGTGCATGTGCCGAGTAGTGGAGCGAGGCTGAAAACACCGCTTCGGGTGTTACCACGGACCTCTCCCCACTACTCTCCACATGCACAAACGTCAAAAGAATGGCAATGTATCGTTCCATGTTCTATTGGAGGATTCACTCTGGCCCCATGACTAAGGGCCTTGCTCCACTATTCTCGAAATGTGCAAAATGAGACTGAATCCTCCACTAAAACCTGGAAAGATACATTGCCATATTTTTTGTCTTTTGTGCATGTCGAGAGTAGTGGAGCAAGGCCCTGAGATAGGGAAGGATGACACGTGTCAATCAACATAAAGGGCGTCGCTTCACTACTCTCCAAATGTGCAAAATGATACTGAGTCCTCTGCCAGAACATGGACAGATGCACTGCCATATGTTTTGTCTTCTGTGCATCCGGAGAGTAGTGGAGCGAAGCCCAAATGAGACTGAATTGCCCGCCAGCACATGGAAATATACATTGCCATATTCTTTGTCGTTTGTGCTTCTGCCGGACTAACAGACAGACAAAATCAAGCAGCCACCAACTAACATAGAGACAAAATTGCACAGCCACGGAAACCAACATGCCCATCTGTCTCGCGACAGCGGAACTTTGAGTGTCCCGATCACAACTGGCCGTCGCGACAGTCAAACTTCAAGTCTTCGGGTGGAAAATGGCCGCTATGTACTTGTATTCCAACGTGCGCCACCGAAGCCTCCGATAAAAGTGTGTGGTGCCGACCCTGCAAAACACATCCGGGAAAAAAAAAAAAAAAAAAAAAAAAACCCTTAAAAAAGTGGATTGCCCTGTCCTGGGCCCGGCTGTGGGCACAACTCGGAAACGGGTTTCACGGGGCAGCATCATGCAAGACCCGCTCTTTGCTTAAATAAGAGTGAGGGATGAGAGCATATGGTGGAACTGATGAACATTCGAATCTCTGGATCTTTCGAATGGGGCAGATGCTTGTAATACCTTTGCTTACAGCAGCAGCCTAGCAATAGGTGCGCATCGTTGGTCTTGTTGTGTACAAAGTCAGCAGATGGGAAAACTTGAGGTGCGAGCAATGTCAAAAACAACTGATAGTGTTTTGTACTGCCTTTTTTTGAATCACTTCGGATGCACTCATTTCTCAAATTGAACGTGTGTAATTTTGATTCATCGATTGGCAATTGATTACCACTCAAGACTATTTAATATTTATCATTCCATCAGGACCATCAGACTATTTTGATGCTCCGGACACACTTGAACACAAATATTTCCACAACGCCTACTTTATTCAGTTTATTGCCTTGAATTGTTTTTTGTACAGGCCATAAGTCCTCCACACGTGGTTAAGAGGGGGTTCTATTTTCGGTGAGTTTTGCACTGTTTTAACTTTTAAATATAAACTGTCATATTTTCAAGAATCCTTTAATGCCGCAAACAGGGCGACTTGGCCAGGCGGATGATATCCAAACCGGCTCTCAAGGAGTCAGGTCCTATGACCGCTAAGATCCTTCGGGCTTGGTCAACCCCCACACACACACGTCAGCTTATGTCGCCAATGGAGTTACCCACCTGCTGGTATATGCCAGCTCACAGTTTATTCCACGAGCACCCACACACTCGCTGGCCAACGCAGTTATTGCAGCTTCGGTTTGTGCATGAACGGCCAACCTACAGGATTTGTCAGCTTGTCTAGCTCCAGTTCGTCTGCATCTTATTGAGCTAACCACATGCTGGTCAGCACCAGTCCTGGGGCTAGACAGGTTGTTTAACAAGCACCCGCCGCTCATGCCCATGCAGCTACTGCGATATCAGATTGGTTGCACAAAGTTAACCTATGTATGCCCGACAAGATCTGATCTGGAGGGTCAAAGTGCAAATCAGGAACAGCAGGATGTGATTGTCAATCCAGCAAGATCTTCAACATGCATAGACTACCTACCTGTCGACTTTGACGTAGACTACTAGAACAAGCACGTCAGTTCACCACGAAAGGACTAGCCCCAGCAATGCCAGCATGAAAGGCACAACAGGCATGCATGCAAGGCTAGGGTTATCAAGGACACTTCACTTCCAATTCCTTCGCCGATGATGGTCCATGATTGCTTCAATCTTCATACAAACGGCCAGGTAAGTACCTCTCCTTGGCCTGGCCCCTTCTTCTTTGGTTAACTTCCATGTATCTCGAACAACCCTTATCTCCTGCTCACCAGTCAACCCTCCTCCAATTGCCACCGGTCATTCTCTCTACCTGCCGCCCTTGATCACACGAAGACGGCTATGAACGCATGTGCCCAACTTCCATACACCGGAAAACAACTAGAGTTCGCTCGATACCAATTGAAATAGGCCGACGAGACATACACTTTCCACTTCACATGATTTCACACCCAGCTCAGTCACAGATGAAACCAACACACGAGTGAGAACTCCGAAAGATGTCTGGAAATCAAAGTCTTATACAATAGAATGCATGTATGTAATCTGCCGGAGCTTGACAACAACCGGGTAACTCTCTCTCTCTCTCTCTCTCTCTCTCTCTCTCTCTCTCTCTCTCTCTCTCTCTCTCTCTCTCTCTCTCTCTCTCTCTCTCTCTCTCTCTNTCTCTCTCTCTCTCTCTCTCTCTCTCTCTCTCTCTCTCTCTCTCTCTCTCTCTCTCTCTCTCTCTCTCTCTCTCTCTCTCTCTCTCTCTCTTCGACTTCTGTCTGTCGCACTCAAGCTACAGCTATGGCACCTGGAGCTGGAGACTATATTAATTGATACTCGGTAGCACAAGACCGCAAGAGCGCTTCCACAGCAATCTCAAATGAAAATTGTAATGAAGCTTTGCTGCCGCTGGCCTTTTGTACTCTGCTGCAGTCCCCAATCTTGGGCTTTCCCAGACTGGTGCCTCTACTTGCCAGCTGTGGTTGGCCGTCGACACTTCCGGATTCTCCGGAAGTTTCACGGACTTTCATGGGACAGAAGCTCCCGACTGGACTGGATGGACTGACTGCACTAATGTGATTACAAGACCTACAACCTATTGTTAACGGTCCTACCTACCGGGGTACTATGGTACACGGGACTGTGGGACTGTGGGATCAGGACTGGGACTTGGAGGCTGAGAAACGTGAAATCCTTTCACCTATTTCCTCCCGTGCAGTACATCTCCCACTGTGTCTTCCCAAAGTTGTATTTTTTCTCCCAATACTACTTTCTCCCTCAGGTGGAGCTGGGCTGGTCTTTCTTGACTGTGTTACATCTATGTTGACAAATCGTGAATGCGCATGCTCACGCAAGACCATCATAACAGTAGTCTGCAGAAACGTGAAGTACATGTAGTCTTTGCTCTTGCATGCAGACAGTGCGCTTCTAGACAAGTATTCTGAGCTTAGGGGTTCAGTAGGGGTAGGTGGTACGGCAATCATCCGTGTCAACGACTAATTGTTGAGGTAAACGATTTGCCACCGACCAGGCCACAGGAACAGGAAAAATCAATCTGACTGACTCTGACTCTGACACCTTTCTTTAGCTCTGCTGTATCCCTCAGACTGATTTCCAGCACATACTGACACTGCTTAGCTCTGCTATAGCCCAACAACTGATCTTTATCATTCATTGTTATGCTGTGGTGTGGCCTGTGTCCTCTTTGTATTCTGCAGCCACGCCTCTCGTACTGGTGGGAGATATGCATGATATATTCCACTCTCCTTACTTTGCCTGTCTTCCTTTTCTTTGTCTTCTCTCCATCTCTTCTTTGTGTTTATCCCCTCCCCCTTTACTCTGCCTCTTTCTCACAGTGTATGTGGGCCATTATGGCACACAGGGATGCGGGAAGCTCGTGCTCGACTTCATCGACGTGGCGAGCCTTGCACATGAGAGGCACAGTAAAGGGGGAGTTAAGAGGAGAATGATAAAAAAGAATGGTTTCAGTGTGCTCTTCATGTTTGTCTTGTGTATTTTTATCGTTTGTTTGGCAAAATGCACTCTCTCAGTTGAGAGATATGTGACAATATATATTATAGCACTTCATGACAGCAATAGGCATGCTGATCGATCAGCTATTGGCCGGCTGTTGTGAAACAGGATGAGAACCAACCTGCCATTGGAGAATGTGCACTGTTCCCGCGGATCTTGGGGTCATCAAGCTGTCTCCTGAATGCCAAACACTACGATGTCTATTTTAAAGACATGCCGCTTGTCAATGGCATGGTGAGTGAGGCTTCATTTCACTCTACTGCTTAGTTTCTGTCCAACTCATGAAGCAATGCTTAACTTTGAAAGAAATGTTATCTTCAATGGAACACAGCGGATAGAATGGACAACATCCATTTCAGATTTCTCTCGTCACAGAATGCAAACTTTTCAATGTGCAAGCATGTCTCAAGAAACCTCAAAGGCTCAAAGGAAGAAGAAGAAGAAGAAGAAGAAGAAGAAGAAATACACAAGATTGAACCAATGTTATCTCCCTCCTCTTCTTGCCATCATCATGTCCCTCATATGATCGCCGCCGCCTCTTGCAATTAAGTACAATAATAACTGGATGGATGAAAAGGAATCAATGTCCGAGTGATCCTCCTTACTACCAGTGAAGAAAGAGCTTTCCCCTAGCCTCCTCTCATTCTCCTCTCCTGTTGGTATGGCAAATGGCTATAGTGAATCATCCATTCCTGGCACAGGTGCTCAAAGGGGAATGCAACCACTGCAATGCCTCTCCTCTCTCCTGCTGTCATAGCCCCCCTCTGGATGGTCTGTATCCAACTGGTACCCCAAATAGGGGTCACCTTGATGCAATGCAAACCAGGAAGATGAAGATGAGGGCCCTGAGGGTCCACCATAGCCAAAGGTATGTCTCCTTGTCGGTTCTCACCTCCCTCCTTCTCTACCTCTACTCCACCTCCATAGGTGGAGGTCTTTGTCCCTCTACCTAGCTAGGCCTTTCCCTTCCTACCACTCTCCGTCCATAGCCATGGCGGTCTTTTGCCTCATCCTTAACGCCTCCATCAGCATCCAAGTGCTCCGCCTCACTCTCCCTCAGGGTGGAGCAGCGAATACTGGACTGCGCATTGCACAAAATGATGTACTCTCGCTTTCTGAGGGAAGGCACAAGTGAGATGACGTGTCTGCCTGCCTTTGTGTGCTATTCTTTGTGGATGTGTTATGTTTGACAACCAAG